TTTTTTTTTAGGCCAAAACCTCGAAATGAGTTAGCATTATAGCACTTCTGGTTTCATTGTCTTAAAGACAAGTTTTTTTTTGAATGGGTATTTGGTTAAATGCCTGAAATAAGGTCTGTGGTTAACACAAACCTAATATGTTTTCATGTAGTGTTCCACAACATAAACATCAGTACCCCCTTGTGATAACTGAAAAAGCGGCTCTAACATGTGGCTAAATATGACTACAGAAGTTGTTGTGGACGTGTAGTTCATTAATAGCCACCATTTAGCTTTTTACTTATGGCGATTGTATTTAGGCTTCAAAATTCATTTTGTTGTGTTCATTTGTGATCATGGAGTTTTGATGGTGACAGAGCTTATTTTCTTTAATAATCCAAAAGCCATTGGAAAAATCCTGTTGGTTTTTTGTTGATTGAATCAGGGTGATGCTAATTTCCAGGTTGGCCTACAAAAATATGTCATCACTGCAGCACTCTATTAATATTACCACAGTGTATCTTCATCTTTAACCACAAGAGGTCAGCAGAGGCCACCTCCTCACACTGACAACGTCTTTAAAAATGAGTTTGCATACCTTGGATGACTGTGAATGAAAGACTAAACAAATGAAGAATTTCACAGCTGATGGTCTGGTATTGAAGTTGTATGCCGGGATGGATTGAAAGTTATGAGTTTATTTAGCAAGTGTTCTAATGACTGTGAATATAAGCTGACATGTTCTCTCCCTGCTGGTAGACAAACCTCTTTCTCCAGCTTTGGAACTTTCTTGTAGAATGTTTTCTCAGCGTCGCCAATCCAAATGACTGAGGGCTGCAGCTGCCGAGCCACCTGCCAAAACACGACAATGTTCTTCCAACGCAGGCCAAACGGTACAACAACACAAACAATCATCAGCTCTCTCACTCACAAACAATCACTTATCGGCCAGAGAAGAAACAACACTGACAACTGTAATCAACACTGCCCCCAAAGCACATGATACCACATTAGTGAAGTGAGTGCATGCTTTAATATCGTTTGACTGAAAACAATGCGTCCTGTTCACTACTGATTAACAAAGTTTTCTGTAACCCCCACATACACCCATAAACTATGTTCCCTCTAATTTTCATTGTCTGTTGATCAAAACCTAATTTCTGATGAGAAGACCATTTGGCCATCTGAGCAGAAACCCCCCTTTTTAAATAAATAAATAAGAAAAAATAAAAATTATATAATTAAATAAATGTGTGTGTGTATATATATATATATGTAATCAGATATCATATCAGTAAATATTAGTTTATTAGTAATACTAGTAATTTTATGTTTATATTTTATATTAATGTTATATACACAGGTTTGTATGTATAGGTTTTTATATATGAAAATATCTAGCTGCCTTCGTATTTTAGAGGAAGGGGGGATCATCATATTTGCCATCATACATCCTTGGCATCAAACAGCTAAAAATATAAGTTAATATGCTATAGTAGTATGTTTCTGCCTTCTGTCTTGATTTCCTGTCAGAAGTCAAATATGGCCTTTGTGGGCTTCTGTGTTTGGAAACTGTCAATATATTATAACTCTTTTTAGTGCTGCTATGAACTTGAAATCTCTGTAGGCTTCTGTTTTATGATGCAGTCCATAGCGAATTAATCAGCACTGCATATTTTCACACAAGATTTCACAGATTCAGTTCCATAATGAAAGTCAATGGATATGGGGATTGACTCCAGTTAAAACACTGCTCATTCATTTAGCTGTAATTCAAGAAAACACTACCTCTTTTTCCCACACACATTTGAGTTAGCCTTCTGGATTTGCAGATTTGTTTTAGTCAGATTTATTTTGGCCTCTACAGCAGCAACATCAGAAGTGTATGCGGTCAAAAACAGATTAGAAGGAACAGTACCTACAAACAAACTTCCCAAAATGAAACCTTCATCTACTGTTTGTAACAAGAGAGCTTTGCATTGGGCAATAATTTGGAGAAGTGATTCATCTCAAAAAAGGGCTAAGTGAGCAGGAAGTCATGTTGGCACTTGGTTTTATTCCCAGCATGCATTAGGAGAGGTGCTGAAAGACCACCATCCAACACAATGCTGAGCGCAGAATCTCAGAATCCCCCTGCCTTGTTTATCTGCTGTGCCAGATGCTCTCAGGAACAGTTCTCCAAGTAGAGCTTCCAAGCCTGGTATTTCCCTCTCTTAAGGACACAAATATGGCCACAATAAACTATCCTGGTGGGCAACAGCACAAATTTCACAGCGCTTTATTGATATGAGCTGTCTATGCTTTATTACTAAAGGGAAGAGGTAATGTGGGGATACAGTTTTGGCCTTCTAGGTTAAACACGTGAGTTTATTTATGTACAGTACTAAACACTTCTTGAAATGTTAAGCATCAAGTAAACAACGTCTTTTTAAAAGTATTTTGTTACCATGATGACACAGAGAGGAACGTTTTTCCATTTGCATTAGTGTTTATGTTTGGAAGTCATGCCAGAATATTTCTCATAAACAGAAAAACATCACGCAAAGCCTGAGGTTTCACTCCATTTTAGAAGATGTATAAATCCTGATGCAAAGCTGCAGTACATGCACAGCAATCAATCACATATGTTGATTCGATCAGGTTTTAAGACACATGGAGCTAAAAGAAGCCTATGGGGTTTCAACATTGGAATCTTGGCTTTCTATATTCCCAGGAGGTATTTTGAGAGAGGCCTCCGATGATTTCACCTCACCTTGAAGACCATGTGAAGGAGGTATTGCAGTCCACTTTTGCCTGGATATTTGCCAGCAAGTGTTGAAGGGGAGAGGTCAAATAGGTTTGCCCCAGTCTCGGTGCACAGGGCATGGAGCAACATCTTCTTCCCAACTCCTGCCGGCCCCGTAAGCAGCAGAGCCCGGATCAGGGGCCCTCTTTCATGGACGCACTGAGAGCCTATGGAGACCAGAAGAGGGAGCAGTGAGTGTTCTATCCTTTTTCTATGTTCCCATCATCGATCTTGACCTCTTACACTTTTATCATCATTAATATTAGGCTACTGACATTATTCTGCACAAATACTGTATATCAGATAACAATCTGTATACACCAGTGGAATAAGAGTAATTGTTTAAAAGTCATCTCAAGAGTATTGCGTTGTAACAAAGAAGGAAAATCCCCTTTGATTCCAGCTGTTTAAACTCTAATACACCTCACCCAATCATTCATTTATATCTAAAGACAGGGAGGAACTATCCTGCGAACTCTATACTCATTTGATTAGGAAGTCAGATGTCAGCAAAGGTAATCTTGGCTTTCTATATTCCCAGGAGGTATTTTGAGAGAGGCCTCCGATGATTTCACCTCACCTTGAAGACCATGTGAAGGAGGTATTGCAGTCCACTTTTGCCTGGATATTTGCCAGCAAGTGTTGAAGGGGAGAGGTCAAATAGGTTTGCCCCAGTCTCGGTGCACAGGGCATGGAGCAACATCTTCTTCCCAACTCCTGCCGGCCCCGTAAGCAGCAGAGCCCGGATCAGGGGCCCTCTTTCATGGACGCACTGAGAGCCTATGGAGACCAGAAGAGGGAGCAGTGAGTGTTCTATCCTTTTTCTATGTTCCCATCATCGATCTTGACCTCTTACACTTTTATCATCATTAATATTAGGCTACTGACATTATTCTGCACAAATACTGTATATCAGATAACAATCTGTATACACCAGTGGAATAAGAGTAATTGTTTAAAAGTCCTCTCAAGAGTATTGCGTTGTAACAAAGAAGGAAAATCCCCTTTGATTCCAGCTGTTTAAACTCTAATACACCTCACCCAATCATTCATTTATATCTAAAGACAGGGAGGAACTATCCTGCGAACTCTATACTCATTTGATTAGGAAGTCAGATGTCAGCAAAGGTTGATTGCTCTGGCTGCCGGTGCTCAGTAATAGAAGAACAATAGTTTAATGGCTCTCTAGGGCTAAGACACAGGTGGTGTGAGATCCTTCTGATGGATGCTGTGGTAAAAGGGCTCCAACTGGACAGAGCTCAGGACGCAGTGAGCAGGCATGAATGTGAGACCACACAGACACACAAACAGAAGCATACACAAACATACGCCTACCAGTGCACACACAAACATCCGGCCTCACACACACACATTCGCACAAACAAACACATCCGCACAGATGGAACGCTTGCACGTAACAGGTGCTGTGCAATATCACGTCTCTGTTCTCAATGAGTCCCAAAAGCACTGTAATGTATACCGGTGGTCCATATTTGATAACATTATATTAAGTCATTATTCACTGAAAATCTTGGCTTGCACCCATCTGTTCTGGCTGTGTTCATGATAGAAGTAGCAATGTCTGTTTCATTGTTTTGAGTTGGATCTTTTTAATGATTAAGTTAATTCAGTTCACAAAACTGATCTGAAAGATTAGTTAACAAATTGGAATGATCAAAAATGTTAAATGCTCACTGAACGGGAAATTAATAACAGCTTAAATTTCTGTTTGTTCATCACACAACGTTTTAGCAAATATTATAGTAGATATTAGAATAATTTTACTTTGTATGGCCTATTCTTAACATACTTTCATGGCGCCTAAGTATTCTTTCTGAAGCTTCGATGTCTCAGTTCATATTCATTGTAAGTGAATAAAAAGGGCATTATCATTCTTCAAAATTATTCTTTTGTGTTACACGGAAGAATACGAGTTTGGAGTGATATGAAGTTTAGAAAATTATGTCAGAATTCTCATATTTGGGTGGACTACTCCTTGAAGTGAAAAGAAGCATGTGTAACCCGCCCTGAGATAAGAGATAGGCATTGAGAGCATAGAAAGAACTGTAGTGATACATGCTCATATTTTGTATGTGAGGGTATTTTCCCTCACATTTCCCCCTCTCTTAGGGCCTGTTTACACCTGGTCACTTCATGCGTTTTTTTCTGATCGGATAGCTATCCGATCATGAAAAGACCAGGTGTAAATGCCCTCCGAAACGCATTCGAGACGGATATAAATCCGATCGCTCAAACCACTTCAGGAGGTGGTCTGGGCCGCATTCCAGACGAAACTGGACAAGTGTAAATGCATCTGGTTGTTGAAACCACATATGTAAATTTTACTCCTCCCAAAATGTTAAAATAATAAACGTGTGAGAGCGTGTTATAGGCTAGGCTATATGACATTAGTCAGACTGCGCTAATGCAACACGCATCGCTGCGGACGAGTAGCGTAGCTGAGCTTCAGCAAGCCGACGCGCAAACTGCCACGAATGAAACTGAAAGTAAGACGCAGACGGTCAACACACAATTATCTTCATTAAAAGTAGTGCGACTAACCTATCTTTCCAGTTCTGATGCCGCGCGCTCTCCTATTGCGGCCTTTGATCTTGAAAGGAGCTGATAATTAATAAAATGCAGGGCTTATCTTTTGATTTCGTTGACGTGAACTTGAATATAGCACGGGAATTGAAGATCGGATTTATATGTCGTTTTGCGACGACACATTTATGTGGCCAAGTGTAAATGGAAACGTTTTAACAAATCAGATGGATAGCCGATCAGCGAAAACGAGCCCGGTCTCATGAAAATGCGTATACATAGTACGCCAAATAAAAATGAAAACTCGTGGTATTGATACGCAAAAATTGACTTTGGCGTGCATATGATACGCATGTGTTTGGCGTGCATATGATACGAAATTTGTTGGCGTGCATATGATACGCAGTTTTCGCGTAGCCTACATATGATACGCATCTACCCCACAACCCTAAACCTACCCATCGCGTAGCATATACACGCCAAAGTCCATTTTTGCGTATCAATACCACAAGTTTTCGTTTTTATTTGGCGTAGCCTACTATTTATACGCACTTTCATGAGATCAGGTGCGAAAACGCATGAAATGACCAGGTGTAAACAGGCCCTTAGACATCTCAGTGATAACCAGAAATCATTGCCCTTTAAAGGAATAGTTCACCCAGAAAAAAAATTGCTGAAAATTTACTCACCCTCAGGCAATCCACGATATTGTAGATGAATTTGTTTCTTCATCAGAACGGATTTGGAGAATTTTAGCATTACATCACTTGCTCACCAATGGATTCGATGTAGTAAATGGGTCGCTGTGCTTTTGCCAAGTAAGACATGTTCCTGGATCAACATCTTTTGATGATCCTGGATCAACATTAATGTCCAAAAATACAGACTTAACCCAATCCCTACCCCTAAACCTAACCCTACCCATAATTTATTCCTAAAATCAGTGGGAAATGATAGCTCATTAACAAGAGTGTAGAAGCACCTAATCCTGATTGTAAGCCTAAAACAGATATTTCCTGAAAAGTTATATCTCTATTCTGATTGGTTGATTGCAATGTTGTTCCAGGATCAACAAGGATGTTGATCCAGGAACATGTTGCACTTGGTGAAATCACGCTCACAGTAGTAAATGGGTGCCGTCAGAATGACAGCTGATAAAAACATCGCAATAATCCACAAGTAATCAACATGGCTCCAGTCCATCAATTAATGTCTTGTGATTTGAAAAGCTGTGTGTTTGTAAGAAACAAATCCATTATTAAAACATTTTTAATTTCAAACCATTTATGCTTTTTGCATTCTCCAGTAAAAAAAAAAAGTCGTCTCATTCGAATCAGGAGAGAAATATGCACAGATCAAGCACTCATGTACTCAAGTACTCATATTTTCTCCAGAAAGGATGGTTTAAAATGAAAATGCCTTGATGGATTTGTCATTCAAAAACAGATTTTCACTCCACAAGAGGTTCATTGAGTTGTTCATTACTCATGGATTAATCTTTTGTGAGCAGGTGATGTACTGCTAAATTTCACTAAATCTGTTCTGATAAAGAAACAAACTCACCTACAATTTGGATGGCCTAAGTGTAAGTCAATTTTCAGCTAATTTTCATTTTCATTTCTTTAAAATCTGTAAGCAGCAGGGGGCCACAGTGTGCCAGCTGTGTGTTGCACGAGTAAGGTATAGATTACATCCTAATTCAAATACTATCCTAAATAATATTTGAATTTAATTTAAAATTAGACTTAACATATCTAAAATCATAATCAAGTGATATAATACTTTGTGTGCTTATGTGCATGCTTTTTGGGCTATTGTCCACATGAAGAAAGGAGGAGTTTGTAATGCTTTACTTTTGACATTTTTTGTAGTTGAAATGTGTCAAGGAATGCAAAGCCAAAGCTGTTGCTGCATTTTTTTCATTATATAAAGTTAAAAGTTAAGAAATACTATTACTTATAAGGTAATGAATTTAGCTTAGCTATCAAGATACAGTACCTGAATAATGTTTCACCAGACTGGCACAAACAAGGCTCAATTGTCTCAACTGGATAGTTAGGTTGGATCACAGTTGTTTTTGTAAGCTGAATAAGAATTTAAGACAATATTTATAAAGACTGTAGGAGTTCCAGCTATGTCTCAGGTATGAATCCTTAATTAATCATTTGAACAAAATAACTTTCTAGTGTACAAATGGTTCCAGTAAAATAAACATCCTGAGTTTTGCATGTGGTTCAATGGAGAGTTCAACTTTCCAGGCCGGTAAGCGCCCCCTTGAGGAAGCTCATTTGTCTCTCATAGGAAATTTTCATAGGTTATTAGCCACCCATTGCTGCACATTCAAAAGTATGGACTTCACCATCACCAGCGAAGTGCGTACTTTTACTACACATTGTAAGTGTGCAGAATGGAGCATAGCCTATGTGTATGTTTATGCATGAATGAATGTGTATCTGCGTGTACACTTCCCATGCACCACGTTTTAAACATGATTATTCAAAACTGAGTTCCACTTCCTAATCTCCCCCGACAGCTCTGTTAAAAGGGCCATTGTGTTATTGAGGAAGTCCATTTGACCTCAGAATATCTGCAAAGTTGATCAAGTATAGAACGGTTTACAGACGAGCACAATAAGGGACACTGTGAGAAACCTGTGCTTTTCTACAACCACCTACAAAACGGTTGGTCTAAACAACAAAGTTCATGTGTTTCACACACTGTCCCAATTAACAACCGCCAGCTTTGATATGCTCAAATCAGATTTACTCGAGTCCGCCCAATAAAATGGTTTGAGTGATTATATTTCTAGGGATGGGTAGGTAATAACACAGGAAAGAAAAGAAAAGAATGGAAGAAAATTAAATCTAGGGTAGATCTAACAAGACTTGATCTCTTTAGAGAGACACATACCTCAGGCCAAGGCAGGACAATTATCAAAAATACATAAATCTAGGATTTATGTCTTATTAGAAAGCACACACTGAGTAGGAATTGAGAAAGTGGATAATGAATCTAATGATTAATCTTTGCTCTCTCTCTCTCTGTGTTCCTCTTTTTAGCAAACTTAGACCAGAATGATTTTCTCTATTGGCTAATGTTGGTTTATATTTATCTGGTGCTGCACTACATCAGTTTTGCTTCTAGGATAATTAAATGTCTGTAGAATCAAACAAAAATGTCCATAAAATAAACATTGAAACATTTACCATTAAAATGGTTTCAAACTATTAACTCCA